CACTTCCTCCGGGGGCCCAGCACGTTCCGCTCTCAGATGTGCGGCAGTGTGGATCCCTCCGCTCTAGCTTTTCACTGTCTGGGATTCCGTTGTTGGTCTGTGACTGTTCCTTTTGTTGTATCTTGTCAGGGGAAGAGTTCACGGGAAAGCTTACTGCGCCATGATGCTGACGTCACTCTCCTCAGCTTCATCTCTTTTGATAGACAACTTTTTCCTGATTATAAAAATAATACATGTTACAGAAAATTGGAAAACATAGACTTTTTAAAAAGTGTAGGTTGTAACTTGATGTTCAGCACCTACCACTGAGTATGATTTATAGATATTTGCTCATTTAATCCTCATAACTCTGTAGATAAATTCTATCTTAGTGTCATTTTACTGACTACGAACTGAGAGTCTAATTTGTCCAAGTCACAAAACCAGTAAGTCTGGGAGCCTGCACCTAGATTCGCGTAGTCTGACACAGAGTTGCTGTTCTCATCCTCACCATAAATCTCCCTGCAGCCGCCACACACAGAGGCTGCTGTCTTCTGCATGTGTTGCCTTCCTTTCACGATGTGTTTAATAAACTATACAGACAGTTGGTATACTGTGTTTTTAAAAGTCATAGAGATCTTTTTTGACTGAATTATATTCTAACACTTGGATAAACTATAATAAGTGTTATTTCAGATTGTTAGATATGTATGTTTTCATTTCTTGTTATAAGTAGTCAATGCTTATTACTCATTATTAGCCACAAAAATAAGATGACAAAAATGTCATTCTTGTCTAGATGCCCCTCACCTAGGCTCCTCCCCCTCACCAAGGCTCCTTCTCTTCCTTGCCTAGGCTCCTCCCCTCACCTAGGCTCCTTCTTCTCACCTAGGCTCCTCCTCTTCCTCACTTAGGCTCCTCCCCTCTCCTTGGCACCTCCTCCCCACTTAGGCTCCTCCCCTCACCTTGGCTCCTCCTCCCAGGCTCCTCCCCTCTCTGAGGCTTCTCCCCCTCACCTGGTGGCTCCTTACCTACAAGGCTCCTCACCTGGGCTTCTGTAGCCTGTCATTGGCTTCCTGCCTGGGCTCTGTCCTCAGTAGACTTCACCACTAGCATATCTTCCCAAGGTGCAAACTGACCCACCAGAGGTCATCTCTCCCTTGCAGACAGTCATCGTGGTCAGTCATTGTGGTCTAGATGGGGTCTCTCCAGGCTCATTTCCTGGCACTACCCCATGAGCATCTCAAGTTCTAAACATGGGGAAGAATTACAGTCCAGGGGTAGTGCTGACCTCCATCGTCCCTCACCAGCTCCCCGTCTTTTCTTTCTCCCAGAACTCTGTCTTTAGACCTTTGTGTTATCCTTTCCCAGGACACAGGTAGTCAGGTTTTCTCCTTGCCCTCATGGCACGCATATAGTCCTGTGCGTTGTAGCACACTTCTCGTTAACTCTTTGAAAGCCACAACTATATCTGTCTCCATACGGTTCAGTAAATGTCTAATGGATGAATTGATCTGTTTCTCAAATAATCTCTTCACAATATGCCATTTTTGTACCATTAACATCATGTCTAGTTTAAAGTGGGAGTATTAGTGTGTATAATTTGATTCAAGTAACTTAATACAATTTATCGTTGTTGGGTTTGTAAAATATGGGTTTATCTAGACCAAACTACAAGTGGTCTTTTTTCTGTATAAAAACACAAGAAGAATTAACTGTCATCACTTTGTATTATCACTAAAATTATTATTCTCATTTGCTTTTTATTGATTATAATTGGCTTATTTTGAATGTATTTTAACTACACAAAACATGGCAAAATTCAAAAGCTATTAAGGAACTCTGTTAAATTTTAATTTATTAAAATTTTGAGAAATGAAGAGATGCATAAAAGATTTAAAATTCGTTTTTTTCCACATAAAAGTTATTTAAAAGCCAGTATGTTTAAGAAACTTCCTTCATTTATGAGTATAAAAAACTAATCTTTAGCAAATTCATAAGTATTTTTAATTTACAGCGAATTTTTAATAATTTAAAGAAAAGCTCTTTTTTTCAGTTCAGAATGTAACAAAATCTAAATCTTTAAATCTTCCTCAAAACTTAGTAATACTCTTCCTTAGTATGGATCTTCCATAAGTGTATTTATTTTTTAAAAATAACATTATAATATTAACTTCCAAATGAAATGTTAATGCTCAGAAAAGAAGGATGAGTTTGTGAAAAGTTCAGAATCATTCATTTCCTTATATGGTGAGTAAAGTCACTAAACATATGCTTCAGAGAAGGGAATTTTTTCAGTTACTTTCAACTGGAAAATATGAGAACAGAATTCACTGCTGGCTGCCAAATAATTCTTTCTCACTCCAGTGAAAAATATAGCTATAAAGATTTTGAGGGTTTTTTTTGACTATTCAGATGATTTAGAAGTATAGTGCCAAAGACACTAATGAAACCTTTGCACATTATTTTTCTGCTTTTTGATGTGTTTGGATTAGTTTTGATAATGTGCTACTTGTTTAAAAAAAAAAAACTAAACTGAAAATTTCTGAAGTTTTGGAGCACAGTAGAAGGCAGTATAGTATGATGGTTGAGTGACAGACTTGGGTGTCATACAACCTGGTTTTCCACTCTTGGGCTGTGTGCTTTGAACAATTTATTTAATTTCTCTAAGCCTCCATTTCCCCATCTGTAACATGGGGATTACAGCAATACCTCCCTCATAAGATTAAATGTGAAGATTAAATGTCAGTGGATGTAAAACACTTAGTACCATGCTGGCACATAGTAAGTCCTCAGATTTTTAAGAAATTAAATATTTTCCTACATTCTGGTGGAGTCCTGACACCAGAGGTCAAGTATTGGTAAGCACAAAGGCTTGAATGAAGCTTCTGGTGAGAACCAGGACAAAAGCTTGGATGAAGTTTCTGTAAGAACCAGAACAAGTCAGTGTCTGCCCTTGGATATGTCCTGGGGAATTGGTGGCCCCTCACTCAGGCTAACTTATGGTTGTTGTAGTTGCCTCTGGCATACACACACCTGTAGGGTGTTTTGGAATCCTTAGGTCTTTTTTAGATCTATCCCAGGAGAATGGATTAGACTAGAGTGAATCCAGGAGGTCTTTTCCAGAACTTCTCCAAGAGATGGTCTGGGGTTTGCTCTGAATGTGTTTATACTAAGGGGGTCCTCCCAGCTGGCAGAGGACATGCCTCCTGAGTCTTTGAACCACAGATTATGTTTCTTCTTCTATAAAACGGAAACAACATCTTCCTTTTAGAGTGACTGTGAGAAAAAAATTGAATCCTGTTAGCTAGGACTACAGCAATTGAGATACCTTAAGCAAAGGAGGGAAAAAAGGAAGGGCTTTGTTTAAAAATAAACATAGCATATATTGGTGTCTCATGAAATCTATGCAGGAGTTGCAGTTGAGTGTCAGGAACAGACTGGAACAAGGAATTTGAGAGCCACTGCGACTGTCTCCCCACCCATGCCTGTGGTGCCTTTTCTCCATTCTCTCTGCCTCTGAGACTGGCTTCCTCTGGTCCTCCAATCCGCATGCCAGAAACATGGCTGCCAGCACTCCCAAGAGGCAGGGAGTCTTCTTGTCTTCTTTCATCCTTCCTTTCCTAGTCCAGCTGGGTCAGACTAGCCGAGAGTAGGAAGGTTGCAGTGTCTGAATAAGGCTCCCAGAGGCAGATTTCCTACAACCCTGCATAGAAGGCAGCAGTGAGCTGGAGAGGCAGTGCTGGGCAGACAGGTCCACAGGAGTCCACTGGACTGAAGAGGGTTCCAACGTTAGACCAAACATGAAGTTGCCGGGAAGCTTTGGGGGTATTTATTCTGTCAGGTGTTCTCTGCGTTTCTTGGATCTGTGGTTTGATATCTTTCATTATTTTGGACAGTCTTGCTGCACCCCCAGTGGTGGGGACAGGGAAGCTGTCTGTCATCGTGTCCGTCCTGGGTCTCGAGGCTGGTGCTCTTTCAGTGACCCTGCCCTCTCTCCATGCCTGTATCTGTGGTGGGTCTTGTGCAGGAGAGATTTTGTACACTCGCCCCCAGCAATACAGGATCTCTAATGGTCTGGGCCAGGACTGTGACCTACCCTCCCCAAGGCATAGAGGGTGTTTTCTCTTCTTTTCCTCTCCCCCAAATGCAGTAGGCCTTCCCCTGTGCTTCCCTTCCCCACTGGCTTCTGTTCCTTACATTGGAAGGTGGGGCTTGTGTCCTTCCAGCAGCAGCTGCTCCCTCACCAGCCTCACCCTTGCAGGAAGTGTTCTCCCTGGTCCTCAGTCTTTGCGGTGAGCTCACACTACAGTCTACCACGTGGGTCACACTGCCCTGTGTCTGTGGATTTCAAAGGCGTTACTCTGGCTCTCCCACACTTGGCCCTTAGCAATTAGGATCTAGCTGGCATTGTCTCACCTGCCCTTTGGTGGCCTTATCCACCCCTTGGAGCTGCCTCTAAGGAAGAGTTTCAGGGCTCTCTCACCTCAGCTCTCCCATGCATTCAAGAGTGATACTCTTTCCAGTTTTCTACATCCCACGTGGTAGCTGGAAGTCCCAGGAGCTTTAAAACATGAGAAAAACACTCTTGACCTTTCCCGACAGCCCAGATCGACTTAATTCAAAAACTTGAGAAAGACTTGGAGCCACCAGCCTATATTTTTAACAGACCTCCCAGGTGATTCATGTTCTGTACCGTAGAACTTAATGCACTTAGGATGGCTGGCATATAGTAAGTGCTAAAGTAAACAGTTGCTATTGTTGAACTGTAAACTTTACTACATCCATTAGACAATGCATTATGGAAAAGCAGAGAGAAGAAGGGCATGTCTGTGGTTTTCATGAAATACATGGATACGCTCATGTTCCAGTTGAAACGTGACCACATTACTCCTTCCATTTCTCATAGAAGAGCCATAGCAGCCCGAAGAGGTGATTTCCTGTCCTTTGGAAACACGTCCCACTAGCTGTTCAGTTTCCCAAAATGGAGATCTTGGTCATCCACACAGAGTGGTTGGGGGGCGTGAGGGGTACTAATTTTAGTTGCTTTTCCAAAGCTCTGCCTTGATCCCTTCCCTCCTCATGGGTTTCTCCCTGTGTCCATGTGCAGACTTTTCAGATTGAGCTTTCAAACCTCTCTCTCTCTCACCCACTCACACACACACACATTCATTCTCTCACTCACACCCATTCTCTTTCTCTCACACACATTCTCACAATCACATGCTTTACACATTTGTTCACTCTCATACATTCACTTATTCTCTCACACATACACACTTGTTCTCACACCCGTTCTTATTCATTCACACTCCTCACACTCATTCTCTCACACATCCATACTCATTTTCACTCACATTCATGTTCTCACACACTCATTCTCACACACCCATGATCATTCTCACACACACTCGTTTCTCATGCACTCATACTTGTTTTCACACAGTCACACTCGTCTATTTCTCTTTCACTCCCTCTGCCTTTATCCACTCTAGGCACTTCCTGTTCCCCAGCCTCCCCTGTGCTCAGAGACATGCCAGCTCGCTTCAGCTCCTTAAACACGGGACCCCCTTCACCTGGAGTCTTCTTTCTTGCATTCAAATCTCTGCTCTTTTCAAACCCAGCTGAGTCCTGCCCTTCCGCAAATCCTGCTTCTGCCTCGCTGGCGTTTTGTTTCTTTGAACTTGGGTAGCGTTTAAATGTATCTCATCGTTTTGACAAGGATCATCTGAGTAGACCCTCTATCACTTGAAGAGTTTCCATAATCTCTAGCTGGAGTCCCTTCCAGGTGACCGCCATTTGACAGGGCCTCTCATTAGTCTTTGAGTGTTTCCTTCAGCTTTCTGATTCAATAAGATGCCCCAGGCTCATTTTAACAGTTTTACCCCAGGCCTGGAACCAGCCGTTTCTTTAAAATCCCTGGTTTCTTTGTATTTAGAGATCATAATCAGAGTGCTAGGGAGTGCTGATTGCTCCTGGGTTGTCATTGCTTCTAGGTCTGTTCTATTTAAAGGGCCTATTGATATTTGCAATGCAAGTTTATATCTCAGTTTTTCTTAGGCCCAAAAGTCTTGGTCTTTCGGGGCTTTTTTAAATTGTTGCTTTTTAGTTTGGGTCTATCTAAAAGAACCTTGACTCTTCTAGTTCGTTTTTTTTGTTTTTTTTTTTTTGTTTTTTGTTTTTTTTTAATTTTCCTCCCAAAGCCCCAATAGATAGTTGTATGTCATAGCTGCACATCCTTCTAGTTGCTGTATGTGGGACTCGGCCTCAGCATGGCCAGACAAGCGGTGCGTTGGTGCGCGCCCGGATCCAAACCCGGGCCGCCAGTAGCGGAGCCCACGCACTTAACTGCTAAGCCACGGAGCCGGCCCTAGTTCGTATTTATTAGTAACCATCTACTTCTCAAAGGGATTTGAGCAGGGTTTTTTACTCTAGCTATATGGGTGATTGAGATCATGCAATTTCACTTAGCATTTCTTCTACCAATATAAAGCACAAGTAATTTTATTATGTGTGATATCCATTTTGACAGGAAAAGCAGTGTTTCTAATCAATGGTTTTTACCCATCCACATTTACTTAATGGAATCTTAACCAACTGTTTAAGAATTCTTCTAAGATAAATACCCACTAGAAAAATGAGCAAAAAAAAAAATACAAATGTTGAGTGAATGGATGGAACATGTTCACTAATATCAAAATATTGATATTAGTGAAAATGCAAATTGAAACAGTGGTAAAGTACCATTTTTTAACTGCCAAATGGACTGATTTTTAATATCTGTATTTGAAGGTACAAAGAAAGGACATTTTCATGCACTTTTGGTGGGATATAAATTAGTACAGTATTTTTTTAGGGCAATTAGGTATCAACATAAAAAGTGAACATATATCTTTGACCAAAACGTCCACTTTTTGGATGCTAGTCTGCGTGTGTATACCAGAACACACGTGTAAAGAGATATTCACTGAATCATTCCTCATAATAAAGAGAAATTATAAATATTCTAAGTGGCCATCAGTAGGAAGATGGGTATATAAATTCCTATATGATTTTGCTGGAGAAAACTATGACATTATCCAAAAACAAAACAAAAACAGAGGTAGCTCTCCATATACCAACACAGGACGTTGGTCTTGATATTTTACAAAGTGAAATACAAGATGTGGGAAAGTATTATGTACTAACCCATTTTGTTTATAAAGAAACAAAACTGTATGATTTGATTTGATAACTAGAAATAATTTTGATACTTAATATTTTTTCCCTTTTTTTTAAACAGCTTTTAGAAATTAACTGGACAGGACTGACTAATCTTCTTGATATCCCTGGATTGAAGTAAGTATTATGTCATGTCATACGGTTAGCTTGTTGATGGTGTAATGTGCATTTTCGCTGGTAGGAAAACAACACAGAACAGGTAAAGCCTGTCTCTACAAGGCAGAATCCGTGCCTTCTCAGCAGACTCTCATATGAGCCTCGAGTGAAGAGACTGTAGTGGGTTCTGTTCTCATAGCCACGGCTGAGACTGCTGGGATCCAAATGAGCTGTGGTACAGTGGTTTTAGGACTTTAGACTGAGTCACTCACCATTCATTTTACTTTTTGTTCATCACAAGGCATCGTTCCAGTTTTGGTGTTTTAGAAAAGTAGCAGCCTTTTAATATCTTATAAATTA